GACAGTTGTCAAACCGTCCTCTCAATATTTATTTTGATACCTGTATAATAGTGCTACTCCCAACCTTGGTCAAAGGAATTTCTTATTTCAGTTGATAATTAATGCAGAGACTCACAATGGTCAAAGTACTGATTTTAGGTACTCAACAATAGATAGATTGTTTATATTATTCTCCCCATATCTAAGGTTTAGGGAACATCATGGAAGAGTGGGAATAAAGGATATAAGAGCCAGAATATGAGGAGGAGTATTGTGGAATGCTGCCTTCTGAACATGACATGGCTGGTGCACACATCGACTCTTATCAGTGGTGGTTACCTGTATAAGACCTGAACAAGATCAAACCAGTAAAAATTCCAGCATGGTGAGGAGGGATTGCTTAGGCTCCATTTCTATCAAAGGATATGCCTATTGGTAAGTAGTCTGTGCCCCAGTGGATGGCTCTACATCCTTTCACATGTGTTTAGCACTAATTGAATTCAGAGAACTGCTAATATAATTTATTAATACAATAATACATTTTTAAAACAGACATGAAGTCAAAAAGGAGCTAGGATGGTAGTTCGCACAGAAAGTTGGAGAGAGGTGGTGGTCAGAAAGTGGATAAATATAAGTATATTATATATATATACATACATATGCATGAAATTTACAAAGAATAAAAACATGTTTTAAATCCAAAAATGTAAAAAATTTGAAGAATAAACTTTAAAAAGACTTTTGTACTTATTACACTCTTGCTAGGTGCCCACCCCAAATCTCTGCACAGTTGACTTGTTCCAAACTTCAGCACAAGATTCCCATCTCTAGCAAGCTCTTCCTTCTGTGCTGCTATTCTCCCTCACTGGATTTCCCCACGGTTTGAACTGTCTTACTCTGAGACCATGTGCTGTGTAAATTCCATTCCAACAGAGATCTGATATTATTACAAGGTAGTCTTGGTATCTGGAACCGAGTGGACACTCCAAACTCCCTTAAAGATGACAGCTCTTTAAATTATATTTTAAAGAAAACAAAAAAAATGTACTGGAAGGAGAACATAGGACAACATACACCTTTCTACTCATTTATTTGATACAAGTTGCCACATATAAATACCTTTACAACATAACCCCCAATAAACAAATCTGTATATTTTCAGAGACACTTACTAGCAATACCTAGGCTCACATATCCTTTCCTCATTTGGAAATTGTATGGAAAATAACCACATATGAGAATAGATACCGTCACTGCAAGCTATCACAAAGATGTTCCTTTACGCTGACATACGAAAGAATGGTGCTCTATACATTTTAACACGGAGAAATTATGTAGCTTCATTGCTTATTGACAGCACGAGGCAAATGAGAACAACAATACATGTCACTGAACGGTGCCAATGTTCCTGTGTCAAAAATGTATCTGTACCCTAAAGCCGTGACAAAAACAGAGTGGTTGTACACAAAAGTAAAAAGCACTTTGTATGTGTACTAGCTTTTTAACCATCAAAAAAGTCACCAATTGCTATAAGACACAAAATTTAAAAATAGATGTTCTGGTTTCTGTAATTCTTTAAAATATGTCTAAATGCTTTATATTGCATTAGCCTGTGAATTCCCTTCCCTGAAGACTCAATCCTCCTTCTGTGCTTGGATTGTTATGCATGGTTTTACTTGTTGGAAACTGTGTGGCATTTTATTTTGTTGAATTTCTATTTTAAAATAATCAGAATTCTAACATGTAACTTGCTTTCTAGTCAAGTGATGAAGACTGACAGAATTTCATTGCTTTTTCTACCTTGGCTTAGAGAAAGCCACCTCTCGGGTTTTCATATTTCCCAGTGAAACTCTTTTGAACTCAGTAGACAAAACGCTGTTACATATATGAGGACCATTGTAGAAACTAAATTATAGAAATGGAAGAGGTCCTAGCAAATGTGTTGTGGTTTGCACACTCACCCTTAGCTTTTGTTTCTCTGCAGTGTTCTATGAGATTTGGCTGATGCTACGTGAGAAAGCTACAAACAAACAACAGAAGCCAGCAAGACCCATTGAACTGCAAATTCAGGTCTGCATCAGTGCTCTTTTGGACTTCATATTTAATGACATAATTAGAATTTTACTTCAGTTACAGTCTTCCTATTCCAACATATACACCACACACACACACACACACACACACACACACACACACACACACACACACCTCACATGTTTGCAGATCTGGCAGGAACCTAAAATTCTCTGTTGTTTTTCTTTACAAAAACAGAACCTGCCTGGTGACCTGATCTGCGGCCTAGGTCATCATAGGTCTGAGGTTACAGTTGCCACATTGTTGAATCTATCTGTGAAGAGGGAACACAAAGAGAGTTTCCACATACAGCTGCTATTTCCCATTTGTTAAATCCTTTTATTGCACCATATAAGTACACAGCTGGGAAATGCTATAGAGTGGGAGTTAAACAAATATTTTGGCTTCCCAGTGTTCAGAGAACACAAAAGCTCTAGGAGAAAGCAGAGTGAAAGTTTGGAAACATTTCTGTGAGAATGGTCTCTCACACTAATCTATAACATGTTTGCAACCTTAAGCTATTTTATAGCACCATAAATCATTTGTAACAGAAGTTATTACATATACATTAGTATCTATTGTTTCTGCATAAATTCTGCATAACCAAATGTTTCAGACTAACTCAGCAAAGCAACAAGCCAAAAATAAAGTTTTTCTGGTAAAAATAAGGAGAGTGCCCTCTGAAGAAACAACTTAAACTGTGTTGTCCCTGCCTCTACCCATACATTTTCCATTCCAGTTACTTTTATTTTGTCGGGTCTGCACATGGCATAAAAGCAAAACTATCTTGAACCAATCCTCTCTGTGTCCCCTCTTTGTCTACACTAATCCAAGCTACTGCAATCTTTCATCTAGATTTCTGAAATAGAAATCCCAGTGGCTCCCCACTGCTTTCACTCTTGACGCCTGCGTGTCCATTCACTGTGCTACAGTTGGAATTATCTGTGAGAAATGGTCTTCAGCCCTTCAAAGGCTGTTCCCACTGCACTCCGATGAAATCTCCCTGCCACAATGCCATCTCCAAGGCCTGTATGATATAGGCCTATCTGTTTTTCCAACCACTTCTGATGTATCTTCATTCATTATCCTCTGACCACAAAGACCATCTTGCATTTCCTTAAATTAATTTATAGTTTTATCACCTCAGACACTCCACATGCACTTCTCTCTCAATGGATTTCCTCTGCCCTGCTCTGACTATTTCCTTCATCCTTAGCTAGAAGAGGGCATCCTAGTCATCTATTCAGAGTTAGACTCGCTTCATTGTGCTTTCAGACAACATTCTGATCTTCACAGCACAGTCCCATTGTTAACTATGTATGTATTTGCATATCTATCCCCTGTCCAACAACACAAACTTCAGGATGGCATGCATCACATCTGCTTCACCATAATACAAATGTAGTTAGTAGAATATTTGGCATCCAGAAGGTACCCAGTAAATATTTGTTCAAATAAAGACCACACAGAGTCTTGTTATCCTGCTGATGAGCAAGAAACAGAGACTGACTGTCCATCTCGGCCATGCCACCTTGGAGACAAGGAATGAACAAGTTAAGTTCAATCAGAAAATGTATTTCATCCTTGACTCATATGTTTGCTTTCCCCTTCTCTTGATTCCCCACGTATAGAAAAACAAATGACGTCATTTGGGAAAAATCTGGAGATTATCATTTTAAGTGAAATAAGTCAAATGCACAAAGACAAGTATCTTCACCACATATGACATTTAAGCCAAGTACGGAGCGAGAGGGAAACATTGACCTAAAAGGACTATTAGGAATGTAGAAGAGCAGAGAAAGACGGTGTTTAAGAAATGGTAGTAGAGCAGGAAACTAAAACAAGAGTTCTATATGCATGTATGGAAATGTCAATAAAATTTGTTAATCTGTATAATTAAGATGTGTTAACAAATAAATAAAAGTCTTTGGATCCTGGAATAAAACTAAAATTATTCAAGACTTGCTTCATTCATCTTTTGATCCCCCCCCCTTTTCCTCCTACTGCTCCAGAGTATAGGCTGTGTCTACAAAAATCATTTGAAAATAAAACTTTCTCCCTCTACAAGTCATCCATCTCCATATGTGCATTAGTTAGTAAGGCGTTTTGAATAATATCTTGTTTTTTTGTAAAGGAATAAAAACTCTCATTGTCTACTTAAGATTTTTTTCATTAACTTAATTTTTGGTTACCCACAAGTTAAGAAATACAAGCCAGGGTTGAAACTTCTAATTTAATAAAATAAATTAAGGTTCTAGTTTCTTTTAACTGATAAAAAATAAAAGGTTTTGTTTGGAATAGATAATTAAGTCACTCCTAAGGTTTCTGTTTTGATGGTTAAAAGACAGAATTTACCATGGGAAAGCTGCCTACTCTCCTCACACCCTGCTATGTCATTTCTGCTCATAGAGAAAGACAAACAGCCTGGACAGTTACCCAGGAGCCTTGCACATCCGTTTGAAATTAATATATAAGTACAGGAGGAAAATCTGTATTATATATCAAAACTTGTCATTAAAGTGATAGATTCCAACATTGTCTTACTGAAGATGTATTCTTGCTAGGATGTCATTCAAATGTGTATATTTGCTTAACTTAATTTCTCAATATTAATACACAACCGCACTTCATTTTACTACCTATTTATGACATTACTAAATTCACCATATTAAATTGGAATAGAAAAATAAGATAACTGACTTCTTTTTTAAAAAGTAAATCAATACTCTTTTGTCAAGGGAACCTAATGGTGGAACACAGCCTAGATCACAAACGGCATTCCAAGTTTTCCCAGTTACTAAAATAGTAACAACTGTATGTCTCATGTTTGTTTTGTGACCTGACCAGGAATAACACTGAAGCCATGTATTTTAACTTTCCTCCAAACACCTACTAATAATGAGGATGTAGACATAGCCGGTAGCAGTCACCAGACTTTCAGTGCTCACCATTCTTTGCTGAGATGACAGAACGCTGTCCCAGTCAGCATCTTGTTGAATGGTACTGACAAGCGTCGGTAGCTCCTCAGAGTGAGGTTTGTTGTGCATTATGGGGTGCAGAGGCAGATGGGGGGCCGCATGTTGGTCACTGCCCTCTTCCTTTTCCCTTGAGGTCAAATCCTGGGTCATTGTTTCCTCTCCATCAGTTGTACAGGCAAATGGAGAGGTGGCTTGCTTGGAAGACATTCTTCTGCAGAAGAAAGGAAACACCATGGATTAAAGAGGACTCTCAACAACAAGAGTAGAAGCCATTCACAGCATTTGACTAATTTGAGCATAAAATAAAATAAAAATCCTTGAAACTGAGAGACAGAATGCAAACCACAGACACAGGGTGGCTTGCTTATCTGTTCTATGCCTCCTCTTTGCTTCCACTCTCTAAACAGCTTCCCGTTAACTGCTGCATATTTCCCCTTACGCAATCCCCAAATAAGACCTTTATAAGTTTTCGTGATGTACAATATATGTATTTGTATGCCCTTCCTCCTAGTTTTCCCAACTAGACTATCAGTTTCTGGAGAGTGATTAGATTGGTGGTTAGCAATGAAAGTAACAAGTGAATGAACTGACTGGTGAGCCACTTTGAGAAAGACTTCAGAGCAAAACCATCTAACTTTCTCCCATAGCTGAAGGATAGAAATAAGCCTAAGTGAAAAACAGAAACTGAGTAAATAATTTGTCCTTAATATGCTAAGCAATTTGGCCATATTTCCTAGCTTACATCTTGATTGTGAATGCCAGATCTTACACCAATGGGAAGCTTCTCTGAAGACCTCCAAGATACAGTAAGTATTGCTTGTTAACTTTTAAGTGACATGTTTACTGAGTGACTTCTAGAGTTAGATAAATCTTATAACAACTTTGTGACATGTGACTTGAGTTTTTGAAGTAATTATACCTCCATTTCATGACTGAAAGTACACACATGATTTATAGCATTTACTATGAAAACATTAAATGCTTACTGCGCACACCAAAAGCTCGTAACCCAGTATCACTTGTTGAAGTCTCCACAAAGAAACAATCAAGAGACTGTGTGATGAGGCCTTCATTTTGTACTTTATATGAGATCAGAAACTGTGATGCTATACAAAATTACAAAACTTTGAAACATCACTTTAGAAAGATGAATTTCTTGGTGAAGTGGTTAGTGACCAAACCACTAAAAGCTTACGAATTGAGGGAAGAAACCATTTTTTTCTCTAAAACTTCATGTTGACTTTCCTTTATTGTATTTCCTTTGAAACTGCTGTGTAATGAAGGGAATACAATCGCCACCTTAATTGCTCTTTAACATTAATTGATTTCATACCATTTTTTAAATGCACAAATCAGTTAACATAGGGAACCACATGAGCATTTTTCAAATTAGCAAATCATTAACTTGCCTGTACTGTTTCTACAGACAAATAAATACTGATTAAAGGGTCTAGAAATCTGAGATTAACAGTTAAATTTACAAATCTGTCACATGCTTTCATGAATATTGCAGTGAAGGAAATATCAAGTGCAAGGAAAAATAATTAAGTTAATTCCAATTTAAACAGTAGTTTTTATGTAGCAGCCCATGTTTCACATAGGATTTAACAGCTAATGCTAAATTTCTCACAATTAATGAGGGGGCTCAGAGTTAGTATCCTACAGTGAAAAACATTAATAGAAGATCAGCTAATCTAATTATGCACAGTTCTAAATAAAAGTATTACAGGCTTTTGAAGTGCTTTGAAACATATTAAAATGCTGATACCTACTTATAATAATCATTGTACAAATACTAAAACTTTCATCTATTTAGATGAGACTGAAAAATAAAATAGGGAAAGTGTGTAGAAGAATAGCTCTATTTTCCCTAAAAAGAGAAACTGAATGTTCTAAAGACTACTGTCTCAAAGATTCAGACGCATTCTTGAGTGACTTCTCTTGGTACTAACAAATGGACACATATATGATGGATTTTAGTATTCAAAGTTACTACAGAACCTACTGTCTGGCCCCAGAAACACTACAGCAAAACCAGGCAATTATAACTGTCCTGCAAGTTATCAAGTGTGATCACAGATAGCAAGAGTGTTTTCATTGTTCAGATAATGGGCAGTTAGTGTTAAAATAATCACACACAAGAAAAACAAATGAATGAGTATACTGCCACCTTTTAGAAACAGTTAAATACACGTGAAAGTCATAACCCAAAACTCAGAGTGACTTTGGTTCTCCCAACAAATCGCTCTTATTACAAAGTTATCTGGTGCCTTCCAACAGCAGCATCTGTGATTAATGCTTAAGTAAAAATTAATCAGGATACAAAACCCAAAAGTGCAAACAGTCTCTTAAAGAATCATTTTGATGACAGACTATACTGGTTAACAATAGTGTATGATCCTAATTAAACAACCCTGCAGCTGTAAAAATAGATTCAATCTGTCCAAAGCTATGAGTTGAGTTTAAAGGCTGGTTGGTGAGAGTGTTTTTCTTAAGGAAGACTGGGTCCTCAGTCTTAATCAGCCAATAAATTATTTCCTGCAATTACATTAAATAGAAAATTATCTTCAAATGGGGAGTGTTAATTGAAAATCAAAATTCAGAGGGAAGTTTAGAAATTACACGCTGAATACAATTAGTGGGAAAAGGCTTCACCTCTCCTTCATCAGCAGTCTTCTGGGGAGCCCTCCAGTGACCCATCAGAGCCTGTTTGCACTGGCACACAAGCTGTTTTTTATTTTACACCCACAAACACAAATGTGTATAGAGGTTGTAAATACCAGATAGGCTGCCAATATATTAAAGCCGACTGTTCATCCTCAGCTCACGCCACAACTGGGACAGAGGAGTAGGGGAGGTAGGAGAACCAGGTAAGGAAGGCACGCCTGGCTCCCCAGTCCGTCCCTTTGTAACGTGGTCAATGCGCTGTGTCCCAAGAGCACTATTAGCATTCTTAGCTCTGTTGTACACAGAGGAAAAGAAGACTCTTTTTCTCTCACCAAGGTATTTCCTTTTGATAAAAATGTTGGACTCTTTCAGTTTGTTCTCAACAGTAGCTTTGTCATTGTATCGTATTATTCTAGGTCAGTAGTTCTCAGCCTTAAACAATCCCTCATGTTGCGGCAACCCTCGACCATAAAATTATTTTGTATCTAGCTCATAACTGCAATTTTGTTATTGTTATGTATCATAATGTAAATTTCTAATATGCAGGGTATCTTATATGTGACCCCTATAGGGGTTGCAACCCACAGGCTGAGAACCACTATTCTAAGTGGTGCTTTTGTTTGTTTGTTTTATAGAAGAATGCACACGACTCACTTTTAACACATTTTTTTTAAATATTACAATCATTGTGTGTGTGCCAAGCATGCATGTGTGGAGGACAGACAACAACTTACAGGAGTGTGGGTTCTCTCCTTTTTCTGTACAGATCCTATGGATGGGACTCAGGCTGTCATTGCTTTTAGCTGCAAGCGCCTTTTTCTGCTAAGCCAGCTTGCTACCATGTAGTTTAGAAAATAAATCATAGATTTACTACTATTGGATCTGGTTTGCTAATTTTTATATGTAAATCATTATGCAATCTTTCAATTTAACTGATACATCCTCATTCGTTTCCTTTCTTTTGTAGTACCCTTTTTCTTTGTTTTTAACATTGGGTGAGGGAATGGAGGACGAGGTGCAAGCATGCACTTGCCGAGTAGTGCATGTGGAGGTCAGAGGACGCCTTTCAGGAGTGAGCTCTGCTCTAGGAACTGAACTCACATCAGGCTTGCACAGCGAGCACTTGTAAGTAGCCTCCCTTAGGCACTCCTGCTAGCCCTAGAATTTCCCTTCCGCACATTTTCCTAGAGCTATTGGACTACTCTCTAGAAAGCACAGACACTCGGCTTTGGTGAAACCCTTACTCCAACTACTGTATCCAAGTCACCTTTTTTAGGAATTCATGAATCAAATACACCTTGTTAGTTGAGATTTTCCAGCTTTGTGTGCAATTCTTGCACTTACTTTGAATGCACACATGAATGATACTATGCATCACAAAAATGTTCCCACCTACTCCATGCCTCTGTACATCAATCAGTTAGCACCTTACCTCGCTATGTCCCACACAACTAATGAGCAAAAAAAAAAAATTAAAATCCTTGTGAAAATGGTCAATTTCTATGTGACTTTACTTTGTTTTATTTTTGCTCTATTATAACTTAAAAATCATTCAAATGAATTGTTTTTTTAATTTGTATTAAAAAAATCTTCCTAGTTAGAGCCCCTGAAAACAGGGGTTTATAATGGAAGTGCTGACACAACCCTACTAAAGCAGCGCAAATGTTGCCGCTATAATACACAAAATCAAGTTCTATTATTCTCAACTCTCCTCGCTCATGGGATTTTTCTTTGCTGTGCTCCCAGCCAAACTGCTGAAGCATGAAAAATTTAAATGCAATCAAATGTGCCCAATTCTACTTTACTAGAACAAGTGTCTACAGTGGTACAATCTTAAAAGGAAATGCAACAGATTTGTTTGGTGTTTTTTTTAACTGTTTATTTATAATACAGTGCATTGGAGATCAAATAAAAGAGGAAATTACACTCACATGGTACCAGTGTATTGACTACACAGAGCACATTATAATCAGAGAGGAAAACTACATTGTCAACTTATCACACTGGTTAAACAAGATGGTTTTCTGGGGCATAGCTATTATCAAGGAAAACCTCCAAAAAGAATTGTATTGTATGTCTTTGGGACATGTAAAACTCAGTTCTCATCATATGTTCCCTATGTTCGAACTGTCTCTGCCTAACAGATCAAGTGAATTCTCTGAATGCTACACCATTGGAAATAACTTCCAGTTTAAGACTTGGGGGAAGAAGATGGATACAGATAATGCCTCCATAATTAATAATGCTCTTCAGGATGCCAGCAGGAACAGGTCCATCTCTATAAAAGTAAAAAACCCTCTACTCCAGTCCTACAGCAAGGTATGAATGCCTAGGTCATTACAAAGTAACTCAGATGGTAAAAGTACTTCCTGTTCTTGAATTAGAAAGATGAGGAGGTCTGGGCTATATAGAAGAAAGGATGGTGGGCTTCCATCCATATATTAAGTCCTCTGCTTCAGAAGGGTTTGTTTATGCATAGCTGTTCCAATATGATGGTACAGAAATATTTTTTAATATTTCATTACTTTCTTATTATTATCAAAT